TTTAAAAATGTAAATCCATTTAAAACAATTTATGGGAAAATGGAAAACATATATACGTATATATAGAAAACCAAAAGCCCACTCATTGGTATGTAGTAGGGTCGTAACCCCCGAGTCTCGCCTGGCTATGCTCGTCCTCCGGAAACGTCTCACCTATATGCGAAACAACTAATTTAACATTAAATTTAAGCACATAACCAAAACCGTGTAATAACTTCTCATACGTTGCTCAATTGGGGTGTTTGAATATACCATCATGGCCTACTTAATACCGCAAGCATTACCATATTTTTAGAAAAAAATTCTGATGTCACACGCCGACCAAGGCACGTGCCTGGCACATTGACGGAATCCCTAACGGCGTTAGGGAATATTCCGTTCAAAAACTAACGGAGTTACCTAACGCCGTCAGTATATTCCGTCAAAGTTGACAGAATATTCCCCTTCTTCTCCGGTGGCTTCGCCAGAGCCGCCGCCGGCCGCTGTGTTACCTCAGAAACTGGAAACTTTTAAAACTTCAATATCTCCCTCATTTCTCAACCAAAATTCACGAATTTTATACGGATTTGAAGCTCTTGAAGTATAGAACACAACCATACCTATTTAAAGTCCTAAAATCGATAGAAAACGGTCGAAAAAATCCTTCAAGATTCCGACTAAACCTACAACTCAGTGAACCTGTGTTTCCCAACGTCCAAATCACTTCAAAACTAGCCTAGGGTCCCTATAGAGTTGGTTAGGACCCTCTATGGACCTTAAAACCTTGTAAAACCTCGGCTATCACATCGGAGTAAACTTCCACCTCGTCGGAGCTCTTAAATTCTCGGGTTTTTTAAGTCATTTCCTTGAGCCAATGGTACTACCAAACTTGGGAAGTCGAGAGGAGTACGAAGATGCTAACCTCAATCCGTGGTGTTTTGATGGTGTTTGAAGGTTGGAGAGCTCGGGTCGTACAGACAAGAGAGAGTGAGAGAGAAGGAATGAGAGATGAGGGTTGCACGTATGTGTGTTACGGGATTGGCCAATTTCAAATGGTCTCAAGCCCTAATTGGGCTATAGAATTTAGGGCTTAAGTAATTGAGTCCAAATGGAAATAAAACCAACCCCAATTCCACTTATTCATTTGTAACATTTATGTTACGAACCCGATTCGGCCCTAACTCACGTCAACACGCTCGTGACGACGTGTACAATTTAATTACGTCAGTGAGAAAAATAATTTAAAACTATATGCATACATCCACGTCACCAAGCAAATGAGGGCATAATTGTCATTTTCACACATTCGGGGAGAAAATATATATTTATTCGAGACGGGTCGTCACATTTATGGTTTACGGAGAATATGTGATTTATTTAAATTACTTTCACGAAATATTTATAATTTATCAAATGTACATTTTACTAAAGGATATAAATTATGGGATATTCGTATGTGAAATTCTGTGCACTTACGAATATGAATTATCATGGGTTTATGAGATGAGGTTGTGAGCTTTTGAGCTTTGGTGATTTGGTATGATTTTTTAGATATGTTTTCGGTGCTTATCTAGTGGGTTATCATATAGCACATACACACAACACGGGTATGTAGACGTCTATGGCCATAAGACACAGTTAAGTATATTTATGTCATACCCCCAACTTCACTGGTGAAACCAGTGTCGGACAGTTTCAATAGCCACTGCTAGTGTCAGTGTGTTATGTTATATGTATATACATATTATCAGTGACACACCCTGACCTAGAAAGTCTCACTTGGACTTCGAATCGAGTTGTGCTGGCCAACACCTGAAAGGTGACGAAACCATAAAGTGTAATGTAGTGGAAAAAGAATGTGAATAAATTTAAACCTAAAAGTGCCTAAACAAAGGAGTGCGGGAGTGAGCTTCACACGTGATGTTAGAGCATAAGACAATATAATGAATAGGATAAGGGTTATACCACTAATGATAACCATCACCTGAGATTTACCAGAATCCTCGTTTATACGTAAGCACATCTACTAAACCTGGAGGGGCGAAAAACAAAGTTAAGTGGGTTAGCAACACAACGTTTTGTAAAAACCTTTATTTTCGAATATACTAACCCCTCGCCGTAAGACAAGTATAGTTTCCTTAAAACATACTACGTAAGTATGTAAACAATAATACAACAGCATTATAACTGGAAATATGCCAAGTCATGATATATAAATGCCACAATAATAAAATCATGTGATAATCAAGTATAGCTAAGTGCTCATCCATCTAAGCTGACACACAAGTTCGAACAGATAATTTCTGACACGAACAGGACTGGGTGTAATCAATATGCTCTAGTACTACGATCACGTGAACGCTGGTGCAGAAGCACGATCACATACAAGTCGGATTGCCTAATGCAATTTACCCGACAGGACTGGCACCTAACTTGGATCTAAGTAGATCGAACGGTGTGATGTGAACATACACATGAAGGACTGGCCTTGGCCCTAGGGCGAGTACTAACACTGGTGCAGCAAGATGAGCATGTACAAATACGTATGAATGTCATGATAGTAATATCTCAACCATATAGCAGCATTTATCACAATTCATATCACAATAATGATACTAGGCAATATAAGCGTAAAATGAAGTAAATACGCATTCATGGAAACTATAATATGTATAGGTATAAAAACAAACTGCCCACTCACAAGTACGTCGCTAGGTCGTAGCCCCCGAGCCTAGCCTGGCCCCGCAATTCCTCGGGATACGTTTCCCTTATATGTGAAATAACTAAAATAGAATTAATTAAAGCACATATACGGAAACCTAAATAAAACCCCCATAGTTTGCTCAAACCTAGGGTTTAAATATATGAAATCGATTTACTCGACGTCATGGACACACATGTCGGCTGGAGGTCGGACATGCCGTCACGTGCCACCATAAGGGGCTGCACAACTTGCCACGTGCTGCACGCGCTAATGGCATATAGGTGGTCAAGCGCGTTCACGCGCCTACGAGTACGCGTGTACTCGCTTTCTCCACGATTTTCTGCAGTTTTTGCAGATTTTTGGGCCAACTTCCCGAGGCCTTAATGAGCTCGATTCTCAACCAAAAACACTTCTACAAAGCCAAATTAAAGTTAGGAATGTGATGAATCGATCCATTTTCACAGAAGGTTCAAGTGTGGTCCGTGTTATCCAGAAACGTGGTCTGAAAGTGGCCAAATGACCACGGCCAAACTTTTCCAGAAAGTTGGAAATTTCTTCCCAACTTCCAGAGTTGAGTTTTAACTCGAAAGTTAACCAAATTCGATGATTCAAAAGCCTTTTTGAAGTTAAGAATGTAGAGAATAAGTCTATACCTATTAGATGCTCAATCGTGGTCTGTGTTGGTCGGGGAAATGGTTTGAAAGTGGCCTGATGGCCATGGTTCTCCTCCAAAAATCTGGGGTGTTTCTTTCTTCAAATCGATTTTGCATCAAATCGTCAACAAGAAAAACCTATAACCTAGTGATTGTTGCATGACAACAAAAAGGGTATAAGAAAGAGGGTTCTCGTGGCCTACCTTGATCAGAAAATGAAGTTTCGCTGGAGAAGGAAAGTGAACAGTGGCAGTGGTCATTGACAGTGTAAGTCCTAGTTCTTAGGTTGAGAAACTCGCATATCTCATCGGAGCAACCCTGCTAGTAGTGGTGATAGTAATGTGGCATGACAGAGGTGGAGGAACTCGTCGGAGCGACGTTTGTGTGGTGGCGGTGTCCCTATGGTTATTCACCAAGAGAGAGAGTTTGAAATGAGAGCTTTAAGTGAAAGAGAGCACCTTCTAATTTCTGATTAGGTGCAAGGTTGAGGGAAAACAATTTGATTGGTGGAGAGGAAAAGAAGGAAAAAGAAAAAGTTTGATGGTTGATGGGTGTGAAAGAAGGGATCGGATCCCTTTTAAGGATTGGATGGATTTGTACAATTTTTAATGTACAACTATATCTTTTCAACAATGTTTCGACACCATAAATTTGTACGCGCGTGTACAAAATTACCTGTGACTAACGTACTTTAACAGAGCGTAACTCTTTCGTTACAAATCCGATTCAAGTCTAACACGCACTCACGCATTCATAGCGACGAGTACTATTTTAGTATGAAATCGGGAAAATGAAACTGAAAGCCGAAAACCACGTCCACGTCAGATTCCACTTTTGTCCAAAAAGGGTATGACCGTCAAATTACACCAACAAAAAGAAAATTACAATGAAAAGTAGGGACGAGTCGTCACAATCAGACCCTTTAACAAGAGGGATCCTCATTTTTCTAAAAAAATGGGGACACCCTCTTGACCGTTGGATTGGCATTAATGAAATTGTGTGGTTGAAATTAAATCACAGGCCACACAATTTCATTAAAAGCCAATCTAACGGTCAAGAGGGTGTTTCCATTTTTTTAGAAAAATAGGGATCCCTCTTGTTTAAATGATTCCTATATATATATTCTTTGGCATAACCCAGAGTTGTACAGCTTCACATTCGGATGATAGGGCCTACCATGTTTCTTCACTGGCGTAACCCAGTGTCTTACAGCTTCACCTTCGGGTGATGGACAGGTTATGCCTTTGGGCGACTATGATACCCCTAGTTGAGTACATAATTGATGTGATTTACAGATGTTTTATGGATTTGCCTTTGAGCGGCTATACTACCATCTCTGAGCACTGTTTTATATGTACGTGTTTTATGAACATTTTTCTTGGCATGCTAGAGTTTTCAGGAAAAGCCTATTATGTTGTATTCACTAGTACAAAAAAGACTTTGCGCGACATATGTCCTTCGTCGCGCAAAGTCAAAAAAGAGTTGCGCAAAAATTAGTCCAACGAACCTTCGTCGCGCATCCACCGTCGCGCCAAGGCAATGACAGTAAGGTTTGCGCGACGAAGAATTGACCTACATCGCGCAAATCTTTTTTTTTTTTTGGCAAAATTTTTTTTTATTTAATTTTTAATAAATACTGTAATTAAATTCTAAACAATAATTAATAAACCAAGAAAAAGTATTTAATTATAAAATATATGAAAATGTACATACAAGATGTCTGAACAAAAAAGACAAAACTACAAGTCTTCTAGGTTCAATACATCATGCTATTGGGTATCGACTGGGCGAAGCGGCTGGGAAGTCGAAGGTGGAGCAAGATCAGGTGCTGCCATCAGGATTTGGAGGCCGGACATCGCTAAGGCCCGTACAATCATACTCATCTTCTCGTCCTGGGCCCTAATGTGCCCGACTCTGGAGGACGAAGAAGAGTGATCAGAAGGCTCCGGCTCCAACAAACAATTCATTCGAGAGACATCACAATGATCGACCAGGGCAGTGCTTACGTTGTTGCGCGATGCTCAACCAGAATATGCCCTGCACCTAGAGCTGCCTCACGTACAGACTCATTTTCATCCGCAAGACCTGTACAAGTACAAGATCCCAATAAGTTTAAATAGTGCACCAAAGTCCTATAGTGATACATGATACCATATTTTACAGACTACCATCCACAAACTGTACTTACCATCTAAAATACCATATTTCACTAAATACCTTGAAAGTAAAATGGGTCGAGAATCATTTAATTAACCGATAAAAAAAGCATACGATGGATGAAATAAATGGCCTAAAAAGTTATGACATTATAATTCACAGCATAAATAATTGGCTTGTAATTATTAACAGTATCAATGAAAGCTGATCTAAACTTAGTGGGAATGGAGTGAAAGGAAATCAATGTATATTTCAGTTACCAAGTATGCAAAAGAAAACTCTTATTTTCAATATACAAAAAGATACATTTAAGTTACCAGATATGCATATGACCATGTTCCCAGCTTTTCAAGCATGCAATTCAATTTCCGTTTACAAATTAACAATTAATATGAGATGTAATGGAAGTTTAAAAGTGCTCAGACAAAAAAATAAATAAATAATTTCTTATTTTAAAGAGTAAAACTGATCTCGCTCAACCCTTGAGCTGCTCCAGAGCGCTCATCAGATTTAAGTGTATCAAACTAACACCATAGCACACCATGTTGCAACTGTATACTACTTTGGAAACCAACACGGCTGCACCCACACAAATTCGAAACCCACACGTGTTCGCGTCTTCACGTTAAGAGGCGCTTAGACTATCGATGATAATATTCATAATCAATCGCAGTCAGTCAACAAACAAATTCAAATTACCTCAAGTTGGGCTGAAATGAATCTTGGCACAGCCAAACAATCTTGCTGGCATGCCCCCTAACAAACTTCAGTCGGAGAAAGCTTGTTTCTAGATTTCTCTGACCTTCCCGGGTCAATCTTCCCCCATTCTTGGGATCATATAGTGAGCTGGGGTTGCTATACAAACACCGGCCAATGCCACTGTATCGACGTCCATCAAACAAAAAATCTTCTAGAGAAAAATATTGCAATTTTCCTTAGCTTCCAAAATGAATAGCAAGGTGTCTGATGTTCCCGCCACTGAAATCCCCAAAAGGTTAAGAAGCAGAAAGCCTCTTCCTAAGAGGAGGCAGATCAAATAAAAAATAGCTGCAAATGCTATCCATTTCATAGTCTCCGTGCTCTCCAAGGCCTCTTCAGATTGATTGCAAACGTCGCTGCAGGAAAACCCATATTTAGTGAGAGCTAGAGCAGTAGAAAAAGTTTCGTATCATGATCAGTTGATCACTACCTTCTCAATGTATTTATCTCTTCCTGTATATCATTTTGTTTCTGTTCACTTGGAAAAAAGAGAAAAATAGAACTTAGAACAACAACAAGAAGATGTCAAGGAAATGGCTACGTCTTACTTTGATCACTGTCACACATAATTCAACAGAAAATGTAAGCCGGTCGTACAAACCAAACCCAACCCCGCCACACCCATCAGGACGTTCTTCGTGAAGTTGAATTTGCTTTTCCATTTTCAATTCTGAATTGTTAGCATTTTTAGCCATTTTACTGTTGCAGCAAGTGTTATTTTCATCTCTTTCTCTTTCCTTGGGGATCAGTCTATTCAACCATGCGATGCAACACCAAATCCAAATATACAAATAATAGAACAAGATAGCTTCACCTGTAGGTAGCAACATGGCGGGTTTGACATTTCCAAGGTCTCCCTAAAAACAAGGGCATTAATTAGAAAAAAAATATCAATACATATACACAAATGGATTATGTTCTGCTCCCTGCTACCTGCACAACTTGCATTAAAAGTAATATAATCTATTGACATTGTCAAAAAAATAATAAGAAGTCACCAAATCCTCACCAGTGTTTTAGAATATGGGTCCTCCCCTGGTCCTTTCAGCCAATCTGGCAAAGAAAACCAGGGACCAGAACCGAGGTCCACCGTGGAGCATTAAACTATGTATAATACTTTTAATTAGCCACCAAATCATCACACAAATTCAAATGTCTCAAGTTGAGCTGAAAGGAGTCTTGTACAGCAACACATTCTAGCTGGCATGACCCCTAACAAACACCGGTCTCTGAAACCAACACGGCTGCACCCACCATAATTCGAACCCCACATAACCTCAAACCCTCACAAATCTGAAACCCTATCAAATCAGAACCAACATCCAATTTTATCTGGAGATTTCGACAAAGTACTCAGAAATCAACATGCAATTTGACCCTAAACCCTAAATAACAAAAACCCATTGAAAATCAGAAACCCTTACCTTGATTTTGGGACTTGATTCGCTTCGGCTTCGAGATTCGCGTGGCTGCCCGTCGTTTAGAACGAGAGGGAGAGAGACAACCGACAGAGTAGTGGTGGTGGTTGGATTCGAGATTGTGAAGAGGAAAGACAGGTCTGGGTTCAAGATTTGGGGTTCAAGGTTGTGAAGAGGAGAGAGAGGTCTACGGGAAAGAGAGAGGGAGAGATGAGCGAGAGGGAAGAGAGAGGTCTACGGGAAGAGAGAGGTCTATGGGCTTCAAGGTTGCCAAACTTGGAAAATTGAAAAACAAGGCCTATGTTTCACTATTGCACAGCCAATATAATCACGATTAGCGCGACATAGGTATACAATTTGACGTCGTGTAATGTATTTGTTTTTTAAATATTATAGAAATTGTTGAAAATGTGACTTAATTCTTTTCAAATTTAAATTTGTTTACATAAATACCACAATAATATATTTTTTTAACAAAAATCCATAATAATTTTTTTTTACAAATATATCATTCAATTTCTTAAGTGTTATAAGTACAAAATAAATAAATTAAAATCTACTTAGTAAATATATATATATATATATATATATATATATATATATATATCATTGAACTTGATGGGAAACGCATTGTACGAAACTAGTTTCAAAGATCCAACCATCAAACTTATTTGTATATGGTTTGAGATCGCATCCGCCAAAAATCGCAAAAAACAAAAATGCAGAGATCAAGTAACGAAATAAAATTTTTTAATGGTTATAAATGAAAAAGCACGATTTAACTGTAGTTTTAACTCTGATTTTGATGATTTTTACAACTATACTCCTAGATCCTATATGAATACAATGAACTAATTCGATCGTCAATTTAAAATATTTACACAAGTTGATACCACAAAATCTTATGTTATACTTAATGAACGTATAAATAAACTCAAAGTGTTAGTGAATCTATTGTTTTGATGGGAAACACATTGTACGAAACCAGTCTCAACGATCCAACCGTCAAACTTGTTCGTATATGCTTCAAGATCGCATACGCAAAAAATTGCAAAAAACAAACATGTAGAGATTATGTAACGGGAAAAACCTTTTCGACGGTTATAAACAAAAAATCACCACTTAATGGTAGTTTTAACTCCGATTTTGATGATTTTTTACAGCTACACTCATTGATCCTATATGAATACAATGAACTAATTTGATCGTCAATTTAAAATATTTACACTAGTGGATATCATAAAATCTTATGTTATACTTAATGAAAGTATAAAATAAACTCAAAGTATTAGTGAATCTATTGTTTTGATGGGATACGCATTGTACGAAACTAGTTTCAATGATCCAACGGTAAAAAATGTTTATATATACTTCGAGATCACATATGCCAAAAATTGCAAAAACAAACATTCAGATATCAAGTAACGGGACAAACCTTTTCGATGGCGATAAACGAAAAATCCCAATTTAACGGTTATTTTAACTCCGATTTTGATGATTTTTTACAACTACACTCCTTAACCCTATATGAATACAATGAACTAATTCGATCGTCAATTTAAAACATTTGCACAAGTGGATACCACAAAAGAAAAAGACAATGCAAGAACCCCAAAAGAAAAGCAAAAGGGAAAACAAACAAAAAACACTTAGCGCGACGAAGACCTACGTCGTGCAAAGTGTTTTTTTTTTCTCTTATGAACTAATTCGATCATCGATTTAAAACATTTACACAAATGGGTACCACAAAATCTTATGTTATATTTAATGAAAGTATAAATAAACTCCAAATGTTAGTTAATCTATTGTTTTGATGCGATACGCATTCTATGAAACTAGTTTCAACGATCTAACTGTCAAAATTGTTTGTATATGCTTTGAGATCACATACCCCAAAAATTGCAAAACACAAATATTCAGAGATTATGTAACGGGACAAACCTTTTTTACGGTTATAAACAAAAATCACGATTTAACAGTAATTTTAACTCCGATTTTGATAATTTTTTACAATTACACTCATTGATCTTATATGAATACAATGAACTAATTCAACCGTCAATTTAAAACATTTACACAAGTGGATACCACAAAAGAAAAAGGTATTGCAAGAACCCCAAAAGAAAAGCAAAAGGGGAAAAAAATAAAAACTTTGCACGACGTAGGTACGCCTGCGCCGTGCAAAATAGCTTTGCGCGACTTAGGTGCCCTTGCCCCCGCAAAGTTGGGAAAAAATGGGTAAAGCAACTTGGTTTGGCACCAAAATCCTGCGCGATGCAAAAAACGTCACGCAAACATACTTTGCACGACGAAATTTGCTGCGTCGCGCAAACATGTTTTTGTACTAGTGATTATATGAGTTTTCAAAATAGGAGGTTAGTATGTTCAGAAAGAAAATGTTTTTCCTATTATTAGTATTATTATTATAAACTTTGGTCCACTTACCCTTTGTTTTGCGGCCCCTTCAGGAGTTAGAATCGTGGCATTCAATCCCAACGTCACGGCATTTTCGCATAGGTATCTTCGAGTCTTCTCAGCATAGGACCCACTCCATTATTCTTACATTTTTTTAATTGTAATTTTTTCACATTATTCTTAATTAGTTGTATGCTCTGAACATGTTTCCGCACTGGCATAATTCTTTCTAATTACCTATTTTATTTGTATGCGTGTTAATATGGCTTCGTCACCCTCGGGTGTCGGCTAGCCTTGCCCATCCTGGTATTTGGGGATATCGGGGTCGGGGGGGGGAGGGGGGGGTGACAGAATCAGTTGGGAAAAAAACAAAATTAGAAACAAAATGATAATGAGCATGTGTGAGTGTATGTTCCGTTTCAAGTTTTAAGTTTAACCGAAACAACCCACAACGTCACCACTTTAATGTATGCTTTGATAACCGTCTTTTATGGTTGTATGTTTAACTTTCAATTTTTCCATTGACGGTGCTTATAGTGGTCTGTTTTGATTCATTTTATTAGCTTATGAGAGTTAGGGATGTAATTATAAGACCTCGTGGTTTTAAGTGGATCGAGATAGGAATAAGAATTAGAATCTTCTCATGCATTCACTAACACAAAATTCTGACTCCACTACTGTTTATGATGGGCGGTAAAGTTATATTAGGGACTTAGCGTAGATACCTTACTCTTCCCAGTTTGTCCGATTTCCGCATAATGGCATCGGATTTAGCTTCCTCTAAAACTATAGTTGAAAACTTTAGCAATGACATATGGATTTTAACACTGATGACTTGGTATAATTTAATCTTTTGGATGATCAATAGTGAGAATCCAATTGCATCACATCCTCTTTTTAAAAAAAACCCACGAGGAGCTGCCTCCGATAGGACGCAACGACGTAACTTTTTTTACGATTGTGAAACTGATTGCTGTTCATCGTAGCAATAATTTTCCCCTCGAATACCAATCTGCTGCAGCAACTGCTTCTTATTTTTTTGTTTCCGGGGCAGGATCTTTGGTTATGGTGATTGACCATTGAGAAAGATGGAGTAATTAGATTGATTTGTTCTAAAAAAAAATGCATTGGTTTGTTCTCAAAAGGAAGGTGGAGTATTTCGAAAATGCTTTGGTTATTGCAAAAATGGCAGAGAAAGATATTGGTATGAGAACATATGCCTCGAGTCCTAATTCTCCCTCTTCTTAATCTGTTGTTGATCAATTACACGAGACCCCTTTCATTGGGAAGGCAGCAAATGGGGAGCTCCTCATCCCCTGCATTAAAGCTCTTGGGAATTTGGCCAAGACATTTGAGGCATCAGAAACAACGATAATCGGTGCATTGGTCCAACTTCTTCATGGACCAGAAGTTGTGATCGCCGAGGCTTGCGTTGTGCTCATTAAATTTGTATGTATAGACAATTATTTTCACCTTGATCATGCCAAGGCAATAGTGAATTTGAGATGCTAACCGTCAAGCTCCTGTATTATGGGGATCAAACGGTTCGGTTTTCCGCGTCGGTTCTAATATGCTACATTGTACATGTATCAGTAACTCATGAGAAACTTGCTACGTCTGGAGTGCTCATCATACTTCACTGCACATCGACCACCAATCTTATCGCTCAAGGTCAAGCTCTCCTTGATGGTCTGAAGGCTGCTCGCAAGGGGATTTTCTTGCTTGGATGTGGAGATGGTGATTCTAAGGTCCCTGTTGATGCTTTGAATGGGAACTCCTCTATCCTTAGCAGCTATCTACTTTGGAAGCCGAAATTCAGAAACTTGCTTGCTACCTTCAAGACATTTCATTCCGTCATATCTTTCGTGAATCTAGTTTTGTGGTGGATGCTCTAACTAGTGTTGGCCATTTGTCTTCTGATGTTCATATGAGGTGGCAAAATCTTCCTGTTGAGGCTCGTCCTACTTGGTTTTGGGACTTTTATAGGCATGCACAATCCCCAGTGACCTAGAAAAGGTGAATTTTTGGGACCAACCCTAGAAAAGCAAAACCTAAATTAGATTAGTGCAAGCAAAAATGCCTATAACAAAAGGACGAAGACCTAAATGAACTACAAATGGATGAGAGACTAGAAAAACACGAGGAAAAAAAACACCAAGATGCAAAGAAATAAAATTTCTAGAGCGTACTACTGAATAGAGAAGTTTTCCTCACTCGGGAAATTAAGGGAACACTACCTCAACCTATATGCTCCACTCACAAAGCTTCAACATACAAACTTCAACAAAAGAAAATTCAAAGAACTTAGCGAAGAAGGCTTTGGTGTATTTAACACAATACGTTGAAATGAAGGAAAGCTTATTTATTGATATTCCCGATAAGTTACAAATATGTACATATACTTGAGTCAAAATAAACAAACAAGAGGGAGCCTTCACAAAGGTTGCTTAGGAGAAGTCTCAGCAGTCGGTAGAGCCCCAGAAAGGGAAGGCACCGGAGGGGGATCATTCGGAGCCTCAGTACTGGACAAAACCCTAGAAGGAGGAGGCATCAGATATTGATCATTTGGAGCCTCATTACGCGGTACAGCCCCAGAAGACGAAGGCAATAAATGCCTTTGGAACAAACCCACAAATCTCTGATGATCAAGTAAAACCTGACCATCAGATTCCTTCATCTGGTCAAGCTTCCTCTTCATGTTTGTAGCATAGTCATGCGCGAGCCGGTGCAACTGTTTATTCTCATGCTTGAGCCCTCTAATCTCCTGTTTGAGACTCATCACTTCAGCCGCCAATGATTCAACTTGGCGGGTTCGAGCAAATAGGCGTTGGGCCATATTAGACACAGAACCTGCACACTGAACACTGAGAGCCAGAGAATCCTTAA